CTTTCTTTAGTTATTAAGTATGGACACTGCAAAGGACCTCAACTAAACTAATAAATGCATAGATGTGTACATGTTGTATAGTCCAGTGTGTGTGTGAAGGCAGCTTTAGTTTCCTGTGATGTTGCCCAGTTCCCAGGATCCAAGGATCCCAGGATCCGTGTGGTCAATCCAGGCGGTCAGATATCGGCCTGTGTGACTCTGAGTCTGAGCGACCGCTCTGTCAGCCCCTGGCTGCTGCTTGGCTCTGCTGTTACATCCATGGGTCATGTGTTGAGCCATGGGGCTCCTCGCTGTCGATGTGTGGTTCACAGGCAGGTTATTGGCCGGCAGCTGCTTCCTCCATGGTGAGGACTGTCCCGTCCTGTGTGAACCCCTCTGGGTGGGTCCCCTCCATAAGCAGCTGCCAGTAGGTGTGGATGATGTCAGGGCCCGGTGCTGTCCGGCTGCCTGACCCTCTGGTCACTGGGTGCTGCATGTTGTATGTGATGGGCCTGCTCTCATATGTTCCCCAGTGTTTTCAGCCCCGTCCCAAACTGACACCCACACCCTGAACGGTCCAAGACGCTTTCAAACACTATGATCAGAAAATAATGTGATTTTAAAAAGCACATTAAAGAGTTAGATCAGAGATCAGTCCTGTCATACATCACGTGTGTTTGTGTTCTTGTGGCACTTCCAGTCCTCCACCCTGTGAAGTATACAGATATATTATATATCTTGATAATATATACATATATATAATATATATCTATATATATCATGTTTATAACATGATATAATTCTCCACAAACAATCCAACCACCGTCATCTTACGTCACAAACAACGCGACGTGTGTGAATCCTACATTTCCCATGTCACCCCTTGCCCAGACGGAAGTCACTGCTGATGACGCACTTGGCCCGCCCCCTCTCAGTGGCGTGTTACAGAAGAAGAAGAAGAAGAAGCTGATGAAGATGAAGCTGATGAAGAAGATGAAGAAGATGAAGAGTGAAGAACCTGGTGTAAGTGTTTTCATCAGTTTTACTCTCTGAGCCTCTAGAAGCAACAGGAAGTGAGTCAGTGTGATGGAAGCTAACTGCTAACTGAGCTAGCCTTGATCCACTTCACCTTAATGAGCTAAAGATGCTAACTTCCCCTTGTGATGACGTTTCCCTCATCTGCATAACGTC